GAAAAGCCAGTGGGGGCTGACCTCTTGCTGAGACAGCGTGTTCCACACCACCCATTCCTGGGTGTTACCTATCTCTTTGTCACACCTGAGTATCACTAACAACATCTAAGGCTGCCTTTGCTCCTCTGTTGTGGTTACCTCAGTCTGTTCGAAGCAGTTTGGGGTGTTGGAAATGCTGACCTGTGGAGCTGAGGTAATGCTGGAGAAAGTTAGTGAGGTGGGTGGCAGAATATAAAATGGAAGAAGTTATTTAATGAAATTTTGCTGAGCTGTTGTGCCTAGGGACTTTGTTATGTCAGCCATAAAGGCAGGGCTGCAGCCATGCTTCCAAGAGCCTCAGATTCACCAGTGCACAAGAAGGTATACTGCAGTGAGAACTACCAGAGGAGAAGACCTGTGCTTGGAGCTTGCAGAGAGGCTCTCAGAGATTCCTCAAGACAAGTGAGCTCCCTCTTCCATGCATGGATTTTTGGATCCTACCAGTCTTAAGGGTGATGCTTCTGCCTTCATCCTCCCCAGCTGGCACCTCTCCTGGCCACAGCAGCCACTGGGATTCTTGGCCAGGCATTTCTTTATTGACAGCTGTGCCAGAGTGTATTCCTGGTCTGCTCCCTGCTGTGCCAAGGTAGATTGGCTGAATCAGACTATGGTAAACCTGTTGTGAATGTTCCACGCTTCACTGGACTTGCCAGTTGTAGCTGCTCTGATTGCACCCCTGCTGGTTGTTTGACTGCCTGGTGGCTCCCAGCCAGGGCCTAGGGATGGGAAGTCAAGTTAATTTGCAACAGTGAAGGTAATATTAATCTCACCTTTCATTTTTTTTTTAGACATAGAATTAGGGAGCAAGGAAATGGATTTCTTTTCCCTTAAATACGGAGCCTCGCAGCAGAAATTAAGTCTGTTGTCATTGGGGCCATCCTATTTCTCAGCACAAATCCAGTGTACATAATACCTAGTAATGATTGTGCTGTACCCTGCTGGGACTGGGCAGGGAATGAGAACTAGTGCTGATGAAACTTCATTTCAGACCATGCCTGGCCAGTACACATATTCAATTATTTCATAGTTGCCTCATTGTTGGATCTGAGTCTTCAAGGATTGGTTTCCTTGGCCTCACTTGCAGCTGCTGTCATGCTTGGCTTGGTGCCATTGGTACTGGGTCTAGTTGTGAGGGAATGCTCTGCACTGCCATCAGCCCCAAATCTGCTAGGGAGGTGCAGGTGTCCCCATCCTTTGCCACCTGGCTGTCTGACAGTGCTTCGTTGTGTTTGTAATGGGATGTTCTCATCTTCCTTAGCACGTTGTTCTCAGGCTGATGGGACTTGAGAATAATGTGCTCAGATGAGTTGGAGGCAGCCAGCCCAGCCAAGTTTCTGACTGTGACGAAAGTCCTTGTGCTGCCTGCCCTGCCAGCAGCCACAGCAGCACAAAGAGAGGGCTGTGTGCTCGAGCTGTCTGTTTGGGTTTGTAACAGGAGTGTGTGTGCAGCCAAATGGCTTCTTCAACAATACTCAAATAATTCCAAATGTGTGAACAAACCCAAGCCTTGCTGCTGTCCCACTAGTCTGCTCCGTGCTGTGTCCTCTGTGAGATGGGAGCACCAGGGAACCCAGGCACTGAGGAGCTTCCAGTGTGCATATCAGTGGTAACTGTCCAGCTTCCCTCTCTCTGAACTAGACCTTGGTGGGTTAATATCACTGGTTTAAGACCCAGCCCCTTTATTCATATCTAAGCCCTTCAACTTGGTGGCTCATGCCAGGGCAGTGTCCCCATTTGCTTTGTCAATGTTGTGTGGGGCAGGCAGCGACAGGGCACAGGCTCAGGTCTGGGTCCCATGTTAGGGATGGCACTGGACCTAGGAGGATCTGGAAGCTGCACCAGGGAATGTACTCTGGCCTATATGTGCTTCTTGGCACAGGCACTGAGCTTCAAAACACCCTAAACTGGAGCCTTTGTCCTAGCTTTATGTCTGTGACATCCAGCTTTCAGCTGTAGCCTGTAAGAACTGAGAATTTGAGGAGTTTATTTCGTTTGTTTGGAGACCCATGAACAACTTCCAGCACTTCTCTGGAGGAGCAGCTAGAAGAAGCAGACCTGTCTATGCAACAGCAGTCTATATGGACTTTGCCTTTTTATTTTGAGACTGTGCTTTTTTTGGGGTAGTCTTAGTGGCTTGTCAATCCAAAAGGGTTAACCAATCATTGCTGCATTGTAGGAATAAGCTCAGTGATCGAGATGAGACTTTTCTGGGGTTGGTGCAAGACTGTCAAAAGACAAGGAGCAGTGTCCTACCATGGCCCTCCCACTTTCTCGCCCATGTGCCAAGCTCGTTTCTGTAATGTGTATTTTTCCAAACAGAGGAGTGTGTCTGGGTGTGGGTAGAATGGAGTAAAAATAGCCAAAAACAAAGCTGAAGTCCTCCTATGCTCGTGTGCCTCTCTGGGGAGGATGGAGCAAAGGTCTGTCAGCACCATGACTGACAAGACAGCTTTTGAACACCACAGGGAACAGAGCAGTGTGTGAGCCTGTGCAGGAGGGGTTTGGGAAAGGCTAGGATGTACTTTTAGAAGCATTTCTTGTAGCAGTGATCCTTATGCAAAAAAAAAAAAAGGTGGTTCTGAAATGTTCGTCCTTGCTCCTGTGCTGCCTGCCTTGTCTTGCTGGTACAGCTGTTCAGGCAGCTGTGCTGTGGACTTGCTCAGAGACCTATTGCAGTTAAAAATAGCACTTCTCTCCCATCCTCTCTATTTTTTTTTTTGTTTTGTTTGTTTTTTAAGCAGTCAAGACCAAGTGCTGCTTCTTGAATACATGACAGTAATAACAGCTCTAGATTTGGGCAGACTGGCTCTTTGCTGAGGTGTCTTTGATTAGCTCTGTACACATGGTAAGGCTCAAACCTCTTGAGTTGCATGATGCTTCTTGTGAACAGAAGGTAGTTGTTCCACAATCGTTCTAGGAGCTGAAGTCATGATCACAGAATTAGCCTCTAGGGCATGATTCCCTTGCCCTATCCTATAAAAAGCATGTGTTGGTGACCACCAAGCACTCTGGGTTTATCACCTGTGAACAGCACTACTGCCCATGACTCTGCCGTGGCTTTTCCAGATCTGTGGCTCAAGGCAACATTTCTTTCTTTGTACAGAAATGACCACTGGAAGTATTTCAATACTATTGAGTTTCATATCATCTTTCCTTTTTTAAAAGAAGTTGCAATGAAAAAAAGCAACAACAAAACCTTAATTACACCATCCAGATTTGTTCATGCTTAAAGTGGGCCACTGTGGGATGTGTAATGTAACCTTTGTCCTCATCTCCACCCTGCTGCATGTCACTTCTCTGAAGTGTTGCTCTGGCTGTTAAAAGCTTTTGTCATCTTAAAACACCCTTCAATGCAGACTGAACCAAAAATTCCATTGAATATGGTAAAGCATTATCTGATCTCTTGGTACAGACAACTTGAAACTCTTCCGGATATTTTGTGAGGATACTTGGGTGTGGAGTAATATCTTGATGCTTCTTTAGTGGAGCATGTGCATCTGTGAGAAAAGGGAGGCCTTGTGGAGTCATGGCTTGGGAAAATGCAGCTACTTTCTCGTTTCCTTTGTGGAAATGTTTTTTCTGACTCTGAACCCTTTCACAAACAGAATCCTCATAAATTCCCCTTGTACTTTTGATGCATTCTAGGGGTTTTGGGGTTATTTTTAGTTTATCTTTTAGGCTGTGCCTGTGCTCTGCTAAAGAGAAATCTTTGTCTTCCCCAGAGGTTTTGCCAGTGGAGTGCAGCAGAAGGAGTTTATACTTCCTTCTGTGGCTTCAGATGCACCTTGTAGTTCTCTACTTTGTGCTGTGTTTTACATGAGAGATGTTCCCCTCTGTGGGTGCTGTTAAGCTTCTTAGCTTGTGACCTTGAGGGAAAAATAAGTGACAAACCTTTCTAGTGTAACTTTTTTTGTGCCTTAAACTCCCCTTAAAGCAGGCAGAAACCCCAGCTCTGGCAGATGTGTGAGAAAGGGCCCCATCCAGCAATCTGGGGGGACAGGTCACTGTCTGTCTTTGGTTCACAGAGAAGCTGATGTGAACCTGCCACCAAAAGGCTGAGCCTGATGCTGTGTCTGTCCCTGTCCCAGTATGTATGTGACTTGTGTTTTGTTGCCTTTCTGCCTGTCATAACAAGTTAAAAATATACTCTGGTGTATTTCTACAGTGTAGGTAGAGCATTCCTTTGAAAGTTCAAGTGGGAAAGTGATAGGCATTGGCAAAAATCTGCTGCTTTTAGACTGGTGCCAAAGGGACTTCGTCTGTTTCCCATTGCACTTGTCTCAAGGTCACTTTCAGCATCTTTTGAAGAAGTTGTACTTATCCCTGCCCATAATGCTGTGGTTGATGCCGTATCTGGGTTCTAGGAGCAAATCCAGCATCTGCACTTTAAACATTCAGTGAAGCTTAAAAGAAACAACTGTAAATGATGCCTGAGCTGGTAGAAATGCCTTGCAGTGAGGGCCATGGAGCTCAGTCTGCTCAGCTTTGGAGAGGTGCCAGTGTGCACATACCCTTTGTGCCATGAAAATACTATTCTCAGACTCTTTAACCTGGCACAGAAAGTCACAGTAAACACAAATGCTTGCCCTTGTTTCAGCTGAATGCAGTCAATGTGAACATTGGTATAAATATATAATATATATTCTGTTTGAATGGAATGCAGAGGTTTGTACATAAGGTCTGACCCAGTGGTAGCATGGGTTGTTCTGTTCTTGAAGTGGAGGCTGAGGGGAGAGTGGAGAAGGCATTTTATGCTGACCAAGACAAAGAAATAAATGCACACAAAAATAGACATGATGGCAGGAGGGGGAAAAAGCACAATTCCAGACCTTGGCTGGTAGAAAGTGTCAGAAGTCCATATGTCTCTATGCTCCCCTGACTGCCATAGCTCATTTGATGCTTTTTTGTTTGTTTTTGTTTTTTTCTGATGCTAATTCTCTTCACTTTCTTTCCCTGTGCAGTATGTCGAGACTTCGCTATTCTGGAAGATCATACCTTGGCCCATAATTTACAGGAACAAGAGAGTAAGTAGGAATGCTCTTCAGAAGAAACTGAAGCAAGCTTGTCCCAACATATATCTGGCTTTATTTGATTTTGCTAAGAAAAATGCTTCCTGCTTTTATTTAATTTTTTCCTTTTAATGGAATACAGTTTATTATTGCTGTCTTCACTATCCTGTAACAGTACACTTCACTCTCTTCCAGCTCACATTGTACCCCAGAGATAGTTGCATTTCATATTTCAATTTTGTGCTCTCCTTTAGAGTTGAGTTTGTTTATGCCATTTATGATAAAATTGCATGCAGGAGTGCACTTGGGGTTTTGTTGCTGTGCAAGGTTTTTAGAAATGACTAGCAATTTTGGAAGCTTCAAGTTTTATAGTCTGACCTGAAGTACAACCAGAAGAGGTCTGTTTGTTTACTTACTTCAGCATTGCCAGTGTCTGCCTTTTGAAAGGAGCCTTCCTTTTCAGACATTTTGAGATAGGGCAGCTGTACCCTAGAAGTGTTTATAAAGGAGGAAAAATAGTACAGCCAGGAACTTCAAAGTGACTGGTGCTTTTTTTAAATTATTTTTTTGCATGCTTATCTGTTACTTGGGGTATGTTTACATTGCAGTTTCAGGTGTGGTGGCCTCTCTAATCAGCTTCTCACCAATTTGGTATCTGCCAGTACCAAGTGCTAATGCCATTCCTGCTGCTCCACCAAGGGTGCAGCTGCTCATGCCCTTGGTGCTGGAACCTGAGACCACTGAATTAAAGACCACTCTGGGCTGCAGCTCATGTAGCCATTTTTTCTGGCAGGCGAAATCCATGTATGGTAAAGGACTCACTGGAGCACTAAGTTGCTCTGTTACTAAATATAAAGGTAGGGAGATTTTTGGAACTGATTCTGCTGAGAGTGAGAGGAGTTTTCTTGTGTAGAGGTTCTTGAGGACAAATAGGGACGTATCCATAATAAGTGTTTTAGGTTCAGCTCATCCTCACTGGCCTCTGATCGTCCCTCCCAGACTCACTTCATTCATCTAGGGTGATTTTCTGTGGTCAGAAAATGAAATTCAAAGCCTAAAAACCATTCCCTATAAACCTGGATGTGTTAAAATATGAAGAACTTGTTTTGGTAACAGACACATATACAGCCCCCTCAGTGCTGAAAAGAGGCAATCTCAAGCTGCTAGCATAATTTCAGTTCAGGACTTTCCCACCTCTAGAGAGATTGCTTGGTGTTTCCCTGCCAAAATCTGTCTTCCTTTCTGGGCTGGAATCTCCCTCCCACTTGGTTTATCTTGTTCAGGCAGTGAAGTTCTGCAGCCTGATTTGAGGGTTCTTGTCTGTATTTATTTCCAGTTGAGCATCACTTGGCCACAAACGTTCAGCGTAATCGTCTGGTGCAACATGACTTGCAGATGGCCAAGCAACTGCAAGAAGAGGAGGATAAGAAAGCCCGTGCTCAAATCCAGAAACACCAAAAAGACTTGTGAGTTTGTGCTGGAGATCTTGGAATGGGAATGGTAGTCCCATTTGGTCAGAGCACTAATATCAGCTGCTTTGAGTTGACAGTGTGTGAGTTCATCAGACTTTTGTTTTTGTTTCTTTTTCACTCTGGCTGTCCATTGCTGTAAAAGTATCAATACCAGGCTCTGGCACAGAGGAATGAGAACAGGGTGGGAGTAGGTGGTCCTAGAGCCCATCCTGCTTTAGATACTGTTGCCTGTGGATCAGAAGGAGCCTTCCCATTGTACTGCTTGTTGTCAAAATGGGGTAACTTGGCCACTTGTGTTAACCTTGTTCCTGGCTTAAGTTCAAGAGTGAAGGAAGCATACCACAGAAATACCCAGTGCTACAGGGGAATCTCCCTCGTGTGGGAATTGCAGATACTGGTGTGTTTGCCCTGTGCCTGATGAATGCTATTGAGGAGCTGGGTGTGATACTTTTTGGTGTCCTGCTGTGCTGACAGCTGAAAGCCCCTGCATGTGTTTGCAGCTATTCGGTGTGAAATGACCTGGGAAGGGCAATTGCTGCTGCAGGGTGGCTCAGTGGGGATGAGTGTTGGGGGACAAGCCTTCTCTTGCAGTCCCTGACTTCTGCAGCAGCTGTGGCAGGCTGTTTAATGAGTGATCCAGTTTGCCCTGCAGGTTTGCTCAGTCCCCACACAGCACATCTTAACCCTGTGGTCTGTGGTTTGGCTCTCCTGCGTGCCATGGCTCTCAGCTATGGAGCTGGTGTAGAAGTGAAATATGGCAGCACAGGGCAAAACAAACTGTGCTTTCCAATCCAGAATGGACTTGCAGAGCTTTGGATGTAACTGATGGTTCATGAGACAGGGCTCAGCCAGATCCCACTCGTGAGAGGTGGCTGGATGGGGCTCCCTGCAAATACAAGGTCTGCAAGGCAGGATGCATCTCCCAGCAGCTGTGCTGGCTCCTGGCTTTTCTTGGGTTCTGGAATGCCACCCACTAGGTGCAGTTGGTAGTGTATCTCACAGTGTGGCTCATCTGACAGACCAGTGACAGAGCAGAAGAGCTCTGTGTTGCAGATGTGGGAGATACAAGACTAGCTTCAAAGCAGCGGCTCATGAAAGCGTTGGAGCTGCAGCGTGACAGATCAGGCAATGTTTTCAATGTTCCCAGCACACTGGGTCAGACCTTATGTGCATATGTATCTCTCAAGTCTGTGCTTTTTTTCAATATTTTTGTCTTTATTACTAATTAGAGATGTGAGTGAGTAAATGACAATATAAAAATTGATTTTGTATGGCAGACATGATTCCTCTGTTACTTGCTAGGAGCTGCAAACAATTTTCTTGTTGTAGGACTCTGTAAAATGGGCTTTAAAAACTTTGTGAGCCAAAGCACAGGCAGAGCTGCTGATGTAAAATGTATCAGCAGGAGCTCTTCTGCAAGAATAGTAGAAGTTAGAGGCATCCTTTTTTAATTGGATCTTTTTCTTCCTTAATTCTTTGTATGTTCCCACTGTTTCTTGTCTAAGAGTAGCATGTTCTGGCAACAAAATAATCCCTGTTGTTGCTTTCTCAGTCATCTAGGACAATTTGACAAGGTGATAGAAGGTGTAAGAGGGCATATCTAAGGATTCTTTAGAAATAGGAAAAAAAGCTCTTCTTCTCTCTTTCAAATCCTAATTTCTCTCAGAAAGACTTTGTGAAGATAAATAAGAGAATAGAAACATTTCTTTTTAAGAATTCAGGGAAGCATCAAACCTGATTTTCGTGCTTCTTTAAAAGCATCTCTCACATCTAGCTGAGCAGCCTGCACACTGCTAAGCATAGTAGCAAGATTACTAAAATAAAATAGTGTGAAAATATGTTCTTTGCCTGTTTTGCTCCCAGTGCTGTGATAGCTCTGTTGCACTGATGTGAACAGTTCCCTTAAACATTGCCTTTTTTCCTCCTCATTTGACAACAACTAGTAGCTGAAGTCACTGTGAATGGGAGGGATCACACAAACTTTATTTTTTTTCTCTTTTATAAACTGATGTAGAGTTTTCCCATCGTTCTTAACACTCCTGGCTTCCCAGGACTGAAGGACACATGGATGGGATGTTCAGGAATGGTAGTGTTTATGTTGCCCTAGCTGATTTCTGGGGTCTGGTTGGCACTTGAGCTCACACTAAAGAAACTGAAGGACAAGAAGAGCTGTCAAAGCTCTTGAACCTTTCTTATGCTCGCACAAATTAATATGCTAGTTTATGTTGCCTAACTAATCAAGTCTCAGTATTTAATTACTGCTGAGCAGTAAACCCCCAAAACTAATCCTCTGTGGCTGTTCAGTTCTTAGGCATTGATGTGGTGTATTCCAAGATGTGTCATCAGAAAGAAGAAAATGCTTTTGTGTTTGCAATACTTCTGGTGTTCTTTGCTGCTAACGGAGAGGCAATGACCTTGTTGCTTTGGCTGTGAAAGATGATTAGTTGTTTTTCTGTCCTGTTTGTCTGCAATAGGATGTATTTTAAGCATTTAGCAAGTCAGTTTGTGCTGATGAACTTGGCACCTTAGCTCAGCTCACAGGTGCCAGGGGAACTGGAGACGTGCAATGCCTTGATGTGTCTGACCTTTCTAACTTATTTTCTACCTGGTTTCATGTCCTCAGAGCCTGGGGTTGTAAAGGATCCACTACCAGGCTCACTGACAGCCTGCTCCCTAGGATTTGCTTATTCAGCTATTGTTGTCTTGGGAGCTGTTGTTCTCTGCTGGTGCCGGGTTTGCCAAGGTCCCTTTTTAAAAGCAGGTTCAAGAACTAGATTTGCTGCTGTGTGAGCCCTCGTGGCTTTGAACAGATCTGTCCCCAGAGTCAAATGAAACACACATAGGCACGTGCAAAGATTGCCAGGTTTTATTACCTGGATGAAAAACTTGTGTCCAAAGATGCTTGACCTCTTGATAACTCCAGCCCAATTGCAGGTCTGCTTCCAAAGAGCTGTTGACAGAAATAATCTTCTTTTCCTTCTTGCTGTGTGTGCCTTTTTGTTGCCTATGAGAAATAAGTTGTTTCTTAGTGACATCTGTCCTCTAAATCCTCTTGTTGCAATGTCCTTCCTCTCCACCCTTGCCACATACCCACTCCTGCTTCTCTCCTCCTTCTTCACTTTCTGTAAAAGAAGGTTCTGTTATGCCACTGGCTGTTCCAGCCATGTCACATTTCTTGGTTTTGCAACAAAAAGTGCTTGTCTGCACTTAAAAGTATTTAAACTTCCTCTTCTCATGCCCTAAATTCTCTCCCAGTCCTTTACCTCCAGATTCACTAGGTCATTCATGCCCAGATCTTGCTCAAACCTAGAACTAGTTGCTCCAGCCCACATAGCACAGCTTTGCCATAGCTAAGTCTGTTTGCTTGTCTTCTACTCTTGGTAGTCTTCTCATCACCTATCTGATCATTGTCAGTGTATTCTTCAAAAGATTGTATTCTGATAAGGCAGGCTCTGCTTGTTGCTGCTCCCAGCTGTTTTCCTCCTTTGCCTTGCATTTTAGTAGTTGCAGTTGCAGGGATTGACTTTTCTGACCTCTTTAGAGCTGCTCTTTAGCTCAGCCTCAACAATGCTGAAAGAGAGCTTTTAGTCTTTCTTTTCAAATTCCCCAGCCCATTTCTGAATTGCTCTGAGGAATCCTTGGGTATTCTTCCAACCTATTTGGTGAACATCAGAGCATGCTGCTGAGCATAGCAGGGTTCTTGCAGATGCTTTCCAGCCTTCCTGGTCTGTCTGGACAGCCAAACCTCTCATGTCTCAATTGCTCTGATCTCTCCCTATCACCAGTTAATGCAATTTTGTGTTCCTGCATCCTTACTGGCAGTGTGGCAGTGGCTTCTTTCCTCTTCTTTTGACACATGTTGCTCCCTTGCCTCTTGGCCCTGGTCCTGCTTTTGTGTCTCATCCCACCTCAGTGGAGTACTGGAGTGCCACCTCCAGCCTCCACTTGGCCTATGTTCCATATTCCTGCACTTCCTTCTCTTTGGCTTAGATGTGAAAGCCACTTCCCAGAAATGCCTGCATTAACCATACCCCTGAACCCCTCCTTAGGTACCATATGTACAAAAATTCAGCAGAATTAGGTTGTTTGCAGACTCTTGAGAACTACTTTGACCTGCCCTATTTTGTGGTACATATCTCCTTTCTTAGCAATCAGCCTATGAATCTCTTTTACTTTGTACTCCGTGGATGTTTTGGGAAGTATTTTCTAAATTTGGCCACCAGTAAGTACAGGGAGTCCTGGTCCCCGATGAGGATTCATAGCTCTGCACTGACATTGAGTAATAATTCTTTTGTGTAGATCAGGTGGACTTTTTTTAGCTCTTTTATCCCTTTCTTCAGGCTGACTGATGCCTGAGACTTCAGCTGCCTATAATCACTGTCTCCTTGCCTTCTAGGGAACGACAGGACTGTGAGATTGCTCAGGAAATCCAAGTGAAACTCGCATTTGAAGCGGAGGAGCGCCGCAGGCAAGAGGAAAAAGACGAGGTAACCTTTAAAGCTGCAGGGATGGCAGGGCTATTTGTAGCAGCCCTTTCAGGGCAGACATTTCTTGGCCAGTAGCCACAGGAGTTGGCTTGCATGGTGACAGTCCTTGTCCTGACAGATCTCTGTATGCACAGAGATTTTGAGGAGTCCTGTTACAGGAATAAGATACAGTCATAGTCCTTACACTCAAGGGTCGTAAGAGTTGTTGATGCCAGTGGCCTTGCTAATGAAGAGGTCAAGTAATAGGTAAGTCTTGCTGAAGTGTTTATTGCCCTGCTGTGGGAATTGTAATAGTTTATATACTCTGAGACCTCCTTGCTTTCTCAAATGCTCTTAGGAGAATCCTGGGACATGATTTCTTTGTCTTTGATGCAAAGATTTCAGCAGAACTCTCAGCCCAGCCATCTGTTTCTGGCTTCTCCATTCTTCAGTTTAGTCTTTGACAGCCTGAACACTCTGTTACAGTTTCTTGCTAGCAGATTCCTTTTGTGACTTCGGAGTGTTTCGCTGCTGCTTTTGCTTGAGAGTGGGTGGTGTGGTTTGTTCATAGTGCACAAAGGATTTTGCTTGTTGGTCAACTCAGTGGATCAGCCTGTCGGATTGAGTTTTCAAGAAACCCACAGAGTAGAGGAACACCTGTGAGAGCCTGGAGTGTTTTTGATTTCAGATGGTTTCCCTGAGAAGCCTAAGTTGCCTCAAGATGTTCAAGAGGCACCTGGTAGCATACCCTGTATAGGAAGGGCTTGAACACAAGGCTCTATTTCCTGGAAGAGCCTGAAATAAGAATCTGCCCTTTCCTGACAGATGCATCGGGTTTTTTTGCAAAACTTCTTCTGCCATTAATTCCAAGCAAGTACTGAAAGGCTGCCCAGACAGATGGGAAGGGCTTGGCTTCCAAGAGGAGCTTGTGGTAACAGGGTGGGAGGAACACTTTGGCTACAGGATTTGTGCTTAGGAGGTAGTAAGTAATCTGTCGTATTTTTATCAGGAAGGTGAAGGAGATGCAGAATTAATGTTGACTTGTGGAATTGCACCTTTACTTCCTGCTTTGTGTAGAAAACTGCAGGGATATCAGGGGTCTGACATCAGGTCCTTGCAGCCTGTCAAACCTGCCTGCTGACCATCTTGAGTTGGGAGCAGGCTTCAGCTGACTGTGGCTTAAAGCAAAGAGAAGTCATAAATATTCTTTCTCTTCCTGCTGGTACGTGGGAAGTTCCCAAGTGTGGCTGAAATGTACTGAGGACTGAGGCAGATCCTTTCTGGAGTGCAGGGTTTTTAAATGAAGCACTAAGCCTGCCTGCCCTGCCTGCTATGAATCCTTTTTGGAAGAAGTGGTTTGTGTGGATTTGCAAGTCCTGAGCTGTCTCAGTCCTGGAGATAATGTGCTTTAGCTCTTATATTTATAGACTTACTGTACTTGCTAGAAAGGTTAATCTTTTCAGGGGAAGGAGTTTGTGGAGGTTTTGGTTTGTTGTTGTTTTGTGGCTTTTTTTTTTTTTTTTTTTTAAGGAGCCTGTGGCATCCCCAGATTTTCCACAAAGCTGGTTTCAGGGCAGATCTTACCTGAATCCTGAAATAATAGCTTGTACTTGAGCAGCCATGCAATGTCCTCTGGTGCTGGTTTGGCTCTGGAGGGTGTTGACTCTTAGTTTGCATTTCAGCCATGCCTTTCCTGCCTGCAGTGTCCACTTTACATGCATGGCTCTGTAAAGGTCCTGAGGATTAGGAAGGCTTAAATGAATAGCATCCAAAGGGGCAGCATGCCATGCTGGTATCTCCCAGCTTTGCTCCCTAGCTCCAGAACGGTTTCACTGACTCAGAAGCTCCTGGGCCTCAGAGGAGCAAGCTCCAGGGAACTGTTTGCAGTTCCTAGGCCTTGTTGATCCATTAGTCATTTCGAAGGAAAACCAATTAGGAAAATGGAGTGCTCTTTACTTTGGCATATCTACCAAAACTATGACAGAAGACAAACGGCTGCAGTCCCCACTGTGCTCCTGCCTTATGCCTAGTTTGCTCTTCCTAATGTCCTTTCGATTTTCTTTTCCTTCAAGTCTCTCTCTGTCAAACTGATGCATTTCCCTGCCTGGCATCCTGTAGTCCTGGCAAATTACAGCCAGTGTGAAGTGAGTTCACCGTTTGCTCTGGGAACTCCTGCCAGTCAGAAGTGCCTTTAGCTGGACAGTCTTTGCCTCTGTGTTTTTCTTTCCCTGGCAGAGTGCAGGGGGGAGATCCAGCCCACTCCCATTAGTGGCTGTGCACTTCTGTGACTTCCAAATCCTTGTTGAAAGCCTGAGGGTGCATGTGCAGTCCCTTCTGCCCTGCTTTGGCCATTAGGGCTTAGCAGGCTTGTGTGCAGGAGGAGCAGGAACCTGTGAGTTTGCCATGGTGTTGGAATCTCAGCACTGGGCCTGGGTGAGGTTGGATACTGGTTGCTGACATGGCTCCTTGTGTCACCCATTATTATGAAAGCCTCATCCAGCCCAGGGGTTGAATTTGAGTAACTGTTGTTGCCATGTCTGAAAAATTAAACTTTTTTTTGGTAAGGATTTTAATAATTGAATTAAGAATTTGACTAAAAGAATCTGGAGATACTTTTTAGTGGTGATTTAATGTCTGTTTTCTTCCATCTCTGCAGGATATTGCCCGTCTCTTACAACAGAAAGAACTGCAGGAAGAAAAAAAGCGCAAGAAGCACTACCCAGAGTCCCAGGGACACACAGGCTATGAAGAGAGCTATTATGCAGAAAATGGAGGTATGTTTCTGCAAGATATAAGGTCAGGATCACTGCAATGTAGGTGAACCTGGTGGTCTGAAAACTGTTTAGGGAAACTCCCTTTATCCTACAGTCCTGCATTTAGCACTGTAGCATTACATCAGTTTCCAGGGTCAGAATCAGATTTTTTTATAATCAGGAAGTATTTAGTTTAAAAAAAAAAATAGCAGAGAAGACAATTTAATAGTTTTTATTGTCCTTGAAGCATCTCAATTACCTAAATGACAGGAGTTAGGGAGTATGGTGTGTGTAAGTGCAAGAACAGCCACACATGCATGTTTTAAAAGTGCTTGTGGAAAAAGACAAAGGCTGATAAGGCAGTTACTGCTGTGTGACACCAAGGATGTGGGGGAGAAATGTTGGCAAAATTCCATGCTTGCATTTGAAGAGAAATGGTTCCATGTGCTCATTTGTGATGCTGGCACGGCTTCATGAAGGAATAAGTGCTGGTTCATGGAGATGCGTTTCAAAAATAGCTCCTGGCAGGTATGTACTCAAGCTGTAAAATTAGCACAACTGCCTTGAATGACTTACTGAAGAACAAGGTCATCTCCACAGAACGTCTCTGCTGTGATTATCATCTGGGACTGTACAGTCTGGAAATGATTTGATCCACAGTACTCTGTTGCTTCCTTTTGGTCAGCTTCTGTGATTGAATACAGACCTTCTTGAAACTGGGAGAAGAGAATCAGGGTGTGTTTAATTACAAAGCAATCTGGGGATGGCTTTGCTGTGCACTGGTGGTGGTTCCTGTGTTCTTTCTTCAAAAATGTGATGGGGAAGATGGGTTGCTTTTGATTAACAGATTGTGAAGATGAAGATCAAACCTCATTTCTCATTTTAACATCAATGCCATTGGCAGTTTTAAAGTCTTTTATTTGAACTTACGCTAAGTATTTTAGTTTAAATTTGGAAGAAGTTCAAAGATAGCCAAGAAAGTACAAAGCGCAAAGTTCAAAAGTGTAAAACAGTAACCAAGTGGAAGCTTCATGATCACAAGTCCTGCTACATGTACAAAGCTGGGAAAAAATGTTCTTGGAGTGTTACATCCAATCCACACTTCAGATTTTCAGAATTAAATGGGAGAAGTCCGAAAAAATACAACATAGCTAACAGTGTGCATGCAGAGATGGTAGGACAGGATGGATTTTTGTTAGAAATCAGCTGACAAAGCCTGTGACTTCCTGAAGTAAGACTGCAGTGTGGATTTGGAGAGCAGGATATCTTGTGGGTCTAACTTTTCTTCCTGCAATAATCCATAATTTTGAAGGTGAGGTAGGTGGTGTTTGTCTGGCTACTCATAGCAGTGCTGCTCTTGATCTGCACTCTTTAAAAGCTATAAAGGACTGGATTTTATGCCCGGATCATCTAGCTTGCTGTTCTGGGAACTCTTAATTACTTGAGCACCATATGATTAGGCTTCAGCAGCCTTGGTTTGTATTGTCCTCATTAGTTGTAAATTGAAACAAGCAAAAAACCCTTGCTTTGTTTAAGTGTCTTTTGTTTTGGTGGGAGTGGGGGGTATTTTTGGGGCTTTTTTTTCAGTTGTTTGAGACTTTAGGTAAAATTTATCCACATCCAGGAGGAATGTGGATTAGGTCTATTGCTCCAAAACAATCTGCACTCTTTAAAAGTGGAAAAATAAACATGAGAAAAGGCAGGGTTCCTCCAAGAAATGTCTGTGCCATGAAAAACATTTTTGTATTCACTCAGTCACTTGCTGCTTCACAGAATAACGCCAGGGTCTGTGGAGTGTTTACATGGCCCCTGTGGAAGGTGCCACAGGAACCAGCACCTGCTGATGAATTAATCACCCTGAGATATCCCAAAAGCAAATCTTCTGCTTGGGTTGTCTGGCATGGTTGTGTTACCTGCAGCAATCCTTTCCCAGCACGGCCAGGCTTTGCTCTTTTGTGTTCTGCTCTCTGCTGTTGAATATTTATTGAGCTTTCCTCAATGATAAATTCGAATTAATTTTTAGACCTTTGTGACTGTTGTTCGAAAATTGACTCTTGCTTTCAGGCTCTGGTCTCTGTTGTTCAGTAAGTCACTTAGATTTTTTGATTGGGTATTTTCTGTAAATCATATGAATAATCTAAAACTGAACAGAAAAATCCAAGCAGTTAAGGAGCAACCACAGCAGTTCTTGTTACAATTCTTGGACTTTTAAAAATACACCTGTTCTGGATAAAAGTCACACGGACTTGTTTTGAAGGTGGATTTTCAGTAGTCTCTATTTTTGCTGGCTCTGAAGAAGTTTATTCTGAACAGAATGACTTGAAGGGAACATTCAGTTTTGGTGTGAGGTTTGTTTTTCTCCCTCTGAAATC